TAATAATATTATAATAATGTTATTATAATATTATTATAATAATATTATAATATTATTATTATAGGCACTTCTTGAGCTGGCCTCTTGCAAAAACTACACATCAAAGCAAATAAATAAATACATGTTTAAACCAAAAAAGGATGTGTGGTGAGGTTTTTTTTGTTTCGTTGTTTGTTTGTTTTAAATCAACTTTGTGTTTTATTCCAGCTCAGCCTTTGGAGTGAGCGATGGAGACCTTGATCGAGGCAGTGAACATGTCTATGGGAAAGGAGAAAGAAGAGACTCCAGAGCTGAAGAGCGGAGGGAAAAGCACCTCCAGTTCCATATTGTGGGCAGAGATGGAAGAAGCTGAAGTCCTTCATGCGGTACGTGTTGGAAATGCTGGAGAGTTACAAACTATGGCATCTCCACAGCGTGTCAAATGTGAACCAGAGGAAGAAATGCAGGAACGCTGGGAAGCCCAATGGCAGGAGTTCCTCAAGACACTGCAGGACCCCCACATGGGATGGGGCAACACACCGTCGACGGAGGAGCCCGGTCCGTGGCACGACGGCAAGGCTTTCCTGGCCTCCTTTGAGCAAGTCGCGTCGGCGTGTCGGTGGCCGCGGGATAAGTGGGCGACCCTCCTCTTGCCGGCCCTCAGCGGAGAAGCCGAGGAGGCTTTTCGCGGCCTCGGCCCCCGAGAAAGGGGAGACTACAGGAAGGTGAAGGCGGCCATTTTGTGCCAGGAAACCCTCGTGCGAGAGAGGCAGCGCCAACACTTCCGGCACTTCCGCTACCAGGAAAGAGAAGGGCCGAGGGGTGTCTACAGCCGGCTGAGGGCACTTTGCTGCCAGTGGCTGAGGATGGAGAGATACTCGAAGGAGGAGATCCTAGAGCTGCTCATCCTGGAACAGTTCTTGACTGTCCTGCCTCAGGAAATGCAGAGTTGGGTCAGGCAACGGGGTCCAGAGACCTGCGCCCAGGCGGTGCTCCTGGCGGAAGGTTTCCTGGTAAAGCAGAAGGAGACCGCCACAAATATGGAGGAACAGGTGAGGCATTAATTGCTGCTATTCCCAAGAGACTGAATTAATAGAATCATAGAGTTGGAATGGGGCCATCCAGTCCAATCCCATTCTGCCATGCAGGAACTCACAATCAAAGCACCCCTGACAGCCTCTTTAAAAAACCTCCAAAGAGGGAAACACCACCACACACCAAGGGAGTGTATTCCACTGTTGAACAGCTCTTACTGTCAGGAAGTTCTTCCTAATGTTGAGCTGGAATCTCTTTTCCTGTAGCTTGCATCCATCGCTCTGTGTCCTATTCTCTGGAGCAGCAGAAAACAAGCTTGCTCCATCCTCAATATGACATCTCTTCAAATATTTTGACATGGCTCTCATAT